CACACACACACACACACACACACACTAACTTGGGGCCCATCCCACCAGAGGACCCTTCTGTCAGTGATCGGGGGTGGGAATTGTCTTTAAATATGCATCCAGCCCTTCCTTGCCTAAACCATGTCCAAAATAATAAAGATATGCATATATAAAAGAACTTATACACTGACAAAAACAATCTAAATTGATACAGAATAACACTGGCTTTCCAGCAAGATCACACATGCCATACCAGCGAAATAAACACAAACAACATTCTTGACACCCCACAAACCCCACCATGATCTATGACATTCAACTCCCTCTCTTCTTTAATGCAGTTAAAAGTTGCATATGTCTATAGCAAAACACGTGTTTATATTTACTGCTGAAATCAGCATTTCAGTAGACCAACTACAAAACAGCCATGAGGAAAGGACACAGATTTGACCCTCTGGGACCAGACACACTGGTGAGATCGGAATATCTATGAGAAAAAGGTACCAATCAGCAAGACAGTATATGCAGGGAACAAAGTGGAAGAAAGCAATCAAAAAAAAAAAAAACATTTAGAAAGGGTTGGGGTAGGAGAAAAACAAAACACACAGAAAGAGGAGATAAAATGAATATCTGTCAGCACTGCAATAATCTTCTTTTAAGTGACCAGCACTTATCACATTTAGGAGATAGCTAATGAGAGCTACTTTCTTCTCCAGACAAAGGCTGCAGCAACTACAAATAGTCATGGAATGCAAATAAGGGAAAGTAATTATTTTGGCCAAAAATGGAAGAAAATGTCTGTAAAATAATCTCCTAAATTGGGCTCAATGATATGAAAAAGAACGAGTGATTCTCTAAACCATATTTTAAAACTTATCTGAAATTAATTATATCTTATCTAAAATATCACAGCAAAAGTCAAGAAGCTGCAGTCTCCATGTTGCTTTTCATTAAAAAAACCTGCAGGCAATGTTATAAAATATGAACATCACTCTATATATTTTCAAAAATAAAATCTGTAACCAAATAAGTTGTTCAAAGTGAATACATTATTACAATTGTGCAATGTTACATCTTATTTCTACCTTAGTAATGATGTAAAGAAATTTAAAAGCCAGATGTACTAGTGGAGGAGGAGACTCTTTGTCCCGAACTATATCCAATAATAAATTCATCATCCACTCTAAAGAAGGAAAAAAGGGAAGCATTAGTAAATCACGCAAATTTAGCTTGCTGTTTCTCTGATAACAAAGAGCTAGCACATTGGCCAGTAGCACAGGGATGCATTCAGGCGCCCAGAGCAGAGGGGCAGTGACTTCTGGATGGCATGTGATTGTGACTGCAATAGTGTCACTGCCAGCAGAAGCCCTTTTTTGTGACCCACCTAAGGTCAGCACCTGGGGTGGCTGCCCTGTTAGCTTCGCCCTATTTATGCCATTGTACATAGCTATAGACAGCGTGCAGCAACCTGCTATACCATTGACCACGGTAGCCTCAAAAGGCAAACACAGACTTTTTAACAGCTTGTCAAAGCATGTACACAAAAAAACAGACTGAGAAAATGTTCCTACCTAGATGTGGATCCAAAAGGTGAGGCTGCTCCTGGTATTTGTCCATTATAACTAAAAAAGAAAAACTTTTTAAGTGGCAAGTGATTCAAATAGTATGTTCTAATCTAGAGCACTAATTTTAATTAATTATACACCCAGCTACATAGCTGTGGTACAAAGCTTTTCCATCCTACTGGCTAACACAGGGCTGCCCAACTTACAAGCTCCCAGAGGCCACACGCTATACCACATAGGCTGCACCTGCAGGGGCAATGTGCTTTGGTGCACCCCACCTTGACTGCACCATGCATGCAAGCAGCCTTCCCTGACACACAACACTACACATAGTGTGCAGGCATCCCCCACCTCATCTCCCCTGCTGCACAGTGCTGTAGGCTCCCCCAGTGTCATGGGCTGCATTGTACCAACCCTGGGCTGAAGCAAGGACTGAAAGCTAAGACAGGAGAAAACTAGAGACTACAACTGCAGCACTAGCCAAAGAGATATGGGGAACAGCGGCCACGTGGGAGTCCAGGGGCTGCCAACTGAAGGGAGCCCTGGGCTAACTAATGCCATCACCCTCTATTGTAGACGAGATTTCTACAGAGTATTTTATATATACTAGTGAACTCCCCATCAAGGATGACAGTGGGGCGGGAAGGGTAGGCGGGGACAGAGTGCTGCCACCACCTCCCAGGAGCAAGGGAGGGGGGAGGGGCCAGAACTTGCCCTGCCGTACCCTTCATCCCCTCTGCCAGCACCCCCATGCTGCTGCCCCCTCCAAGGAGCAGGGCCGGTCTGTCCCCTCTGTCATGGTGGCACTCCACTGTCCCACTCCATCCCCACTATATCCTCTGTCCCCTTCTGCCAGCAC